ACCACCTACCACCACCACTGGCCGCCTCCTCATTCCTCTGCTGCGGTGCTGCTCCCAGCCGCCTCTCTCTGATCAAACCCTTCTCTTCTCAGCAGCTATCACCCCTTCTCCTCATCGCCCCACGACTCCCGCCGCCACCGCAGCAGCAGCCCTTTCTTCTTGTGGGCTCTACCATCCCCTGTCATCCCCTTTTCCCGCTCGGTCTCTCGGTCTCTCTCTCTCTCTCTCTCTCTCTCTCTCTCTCTCTCTCTCTCTCTCTACCTCTCTCTCTCTCTACTTCTCTCTACTTCTCTCTACTTCTCTCCCTCTCGCATCGAGTGCAGCGTAGTGGTATGGTGCAAAGGGGTAAAACTGGGCGCAAAGTGGGCCCCGGAGATTGGCAATTCTGCGCTGGTCCGTGCATCGGCCAAAGCGTTGCGCCCCGACTGATATCGCGCTGGACCGCTGCGGACTAGGGAGACATGGTAGGAGAGCAGAGAGAGCGAGCGAGCAAGAGCGACAGAGAGAGCGAGCGAGCAAGAGCGACAGAGCGAGCGAGAGAGAGAGGGGACAGGTCGTGCTATCGCCCTGCGGTCCGACTTTATATACTGCGAGTCGTCCCGCTTCCCGCCGCCCGCGAAATAAACTCTGGAGCAGATATCGTTTGCCATCTGTTTACTTTGTCCAACTCAAACGGGAGCGCGCGGAGCGGCGGCGGGCTGGGGGGGGGGGGATCCCCCGGCAGAAGGTCTCAAACCTCATCCCGAAAGTTGACAAGTTGACCACGACCGAGCTCAGCTCGCCGGCTCAGCGGAGCGGGCACTCGGTCCAGGAACAGCACCCCCTCCCAGCCAAACACACCGCACCAAAGTCAAGTTGTTGTTCTTTCACTTCCGTTCCGCTCCAAATCGCCCGTGTGGTGTATCGACAAAAAAAGGACAGACACAGAAAAGTGGACGGATACGGCCCGTCCCGACTTACCTCATGGGCTTGAACAGAGCCTGCGCGCCGTGGGGGTAGTCGATGACGAGCTTGATCTGGGTGCCGCCATCCTTCTGACCTAGAGAGAGAAAGAAAGGTGGACGAATCAGTCGGTGAGGCACGTAAGAACAGTCGCGGGTATTGTTTCCAAGTCAACTTCAGTGATTGGAGACAAAACGAAACAACAAACAACAACAAAACAAAAAGATTGGACTTATTCTTGAAAACGCGAAATAGAAAAGAGAATACCGCACGCCCTTCCCAGCGGCCATTCCTCCCCGGCCTTTACAATGGCATTGAAATCAAAATATCTTTACGACGCTTGCGACTTTCGACGATGACGATAGGCATTAGAGCGTCCTGTGCCACGCGTCTTGTGCCACGGAGGGGAGTTGGGGGAGAGTTAGCAACCGGTATTTGAGGAAGCAGGGATCAAGGAGGCGAGGAAGTTAATGACGGAGAAAAGAACGACCACTGATCTCCATTTTATGGGGTCAAAGAGTTTCCATTCAATGCAAATTCGTCTAATAGCCTGTAATGATTTGCGTTACTTTTTTTTTTCATTTTCACGATATGCCAGTAGAGTCGGTGCCGTTCTGCTATTCAGATCCAGGCCACCGATGGCCTCTTGAAAGAGGAGCGGGAGCGTTCTACGATAATGACGCAGCGAATAAGGTGTGAAAGAAAGAGTGGAAAGAGGGTGAGTGGGGGGGGGGGGCACTGCTCATTACGGGGCCCACCAACCCTCCGCAGCAGTTCCCACGGGGCTGAGCAACAAACACAATCAATCGACCCTCCTATCCAATTCATTGATTTTGCTTTGTTGATTTTACATAGATAAATTAACTTTCCCCGGGCGGCCGTCGGAGCGGAGGCGGAGGGCCCTGCCGCGAGCAGCCGCGAGACGGCACCCCCTTCGTAGGAGAGGGGGCCGCAGGGCCGCGGCCTGGCGCGGCGCGGTTGATGGTGGTTCGGTTTGTGGTTTTGGTCGGGGTTGGATGGATGAAGCGGGCGGTTGCTTGGGGGATGAACATAACGAGGCTGATGAGGGCTGCCTGCCATGTGCCGGCGGGGTGGCGTGGCGTGGAGCACTCACCTGCCGGGTGTTTGTGTATGCGCGTGTTGGCTAGCGACCAGGCAACAACAATAACAGCACATCGACCGGGCCGGGCTGGGAAACACGGGGTATAAGGCCGGCGGCCCATCCTCGATATCAAAGTCAGTCGGAAACTCTGTGATACCATACGGCATATATGGCTGCGGTGCGCCATTCGAATGTGCCTCCCCCTCCCCCTCCCCCCCGCCGCGCCCCG